ATTTCGAAAACAAACAAACATATTGATTTTTCTCTTGGAAAGTAATTTACTACTTACTTTTACTTACTTACGCTTGTTACTCCTAATGGAGCATAGGCCACCGATCAGCATTTTCCAACACACTCTGTCCTGGGCCTTCTTTTCTAATTCCATCCAATTCTTGTTCAGTTTTCTCATGTCTATCTTCATTTCTCGGCGTAATGTGTTCGTTGGTCTTCCTCTTTTCCTTTGGCCCTGAGGATTCCATGTGAGGGCTCGTCTTGTGACACAGTTGGGTGCTTTTCTCAATGTGTGTCTTATCTACTTCCAGCGCTTCTTCCTAATTTCTTCCTCAGCTGGGATCTGGTTTGTTATCTCCCACAGTAGGTTGTTGCTTATAGTGTCCGGCCAAAGGATCCGAAGTATTTTGCGTAGATAATTTGTATTGTCATAATCAGACATACTTTTTTGTCTATTGTCTGTTAATAAACACCTGTATCTTCTGGATGATGGCTTTCGTAGTTCTCCAATTTACTACTTACTTGTTAATAATCTTTTGAGCTATGAATTAATAAATTACCTAATCACTACAAAGAATTTAAGAGTTAATATATTTGGACAAATGAATTTGTTTTAATAACTCATTAGTGAATATACAATAATATAATGTAAGAAATTTGTAGCTCAATTATAACTTGTGAATGAAAACGTTTATCATAGATTTAGCTGAATTAAAATAGCATAGAATATCTATGAATAGAAGCATTATCGTAACTGACCTTCATTACATTTAGATATTTTCGAAACAATTATTCTAAAAGTTACTGAAGTGTTTTTTTCTCAGTTCAATCACTGTTCTAATTTCATATCCTCATTTCTATTATTTATATATTTTTCAGCATAAACTCATTAAATGTTTCTATTGTGACATTAAAAATACAAGTTAAGCAAAGAATAATCTAATATACATAGTTTCATTTATTATCTTGAAGAAAGCAAGAATAAACATTCTAGCAGAATAGCATGAATTCAACTTAATTCGTTTAGTCCTCGTCAGCTAATTATAACATGAAGGAAATTAGTCGGAATTTATTTTAAAGGCACATCGATATAGTATAGTAGGGTATTTATTTACACCCTTGCTAAACTATACTGATGTATCATTAAAATAACTTCCAACTAAATTCTTTCATGTTCAAAAGAAAAAAACGAAATGAAACAAGAATAATTAATACATTTCTCTTTAAATATCAACATGTCCCGATAATCGCTAACTTGTGCGATTGGTATAAATTTTTTATTTGTAAAACTTTATATCATTCTGTTGTCGGCTATTACAAATTGATATTTTGTTTTTTCGTCTTCTGAACTCTGAACGTTGTCTACTTCTGCTTTGATGCCCTAATCTCTACACATATCACATAAATGATTAGTTATTGGTTGGTGGTATATTGCAGAGTTCATCTGTCATATTGATTGATCAATGTTAATTGTCGATATTACTCACAATTAGGAAATTTATAAGATGATTGATTGTATTTCCATACATTGCACCATTACATTATGAGTTACTCAAGGTCATGGATCGATTGAGTTTAGACATTAATACCATTGGATGCTGGCTCAGCAGTCTGGAGGTTAAGCGTTCTCACGCCAGACCGAAGACCTTCGGTTCGAGTTCCGCGTGCTGCGTCATGGATGTTCTCTGCTGAGAAGTCCCATACCAGGACGAAACTCCCCTCCAGTACTTCCAAGTTTAGATTACAAGAGTGGTTCGATTTATATAATTCTCCATTATATACTAATGGATTAAATATTTTGGGTTTTGTATTACCGTTGTAGATCTGGCCAATAGGGTTTTAAGATTAACTTTCACACTTAACTGTGTGTTACTCAAAATTAAAGATACACTCATTTAAACAATATTATTTCGAACAAGTTTACTTGAAAACTTTGTTTTTATAACACTACTACTATCATTTATAAGTAGTTTGATTATTTAGAAACTGTATGTTGGCGAAACAAATATCGTGAAATATTTGTGACTCGACAATTCAATATTAATGTTTAATACTTAAGTTAAGATATTGGTTAGAAATGTCTTATTATGAATAGATTATAACTTTGTTTTCTAGTATCAAAATCCTGTTATTATGTTTGTCAGTGTATGTCTGTGGGATACTTAATTAATTTGTTCCTAGTACTGCAACCCTGAATCAGACGACGTGTAATGTGAAACATGAAGACTGTTGATTTGGATTTACCTGGCATTGGAAATAAATCGAAACTATATTTGAATACATTGCTTATCATATGATTTACTTACAGTCAGATTAGTATAAATAACTTACGATATGAGCACATATTTACCAGATCATACAGTTAAATATTTATAACCAATAGATATAACTAATTGACTAGGTCATATAATTATTCCTCCTAAAAATGTCACAGAGAATCAAATACATAATTTCATCGAAATCGAATCGATCAAGTAAATGTTCAACATAATACCTGTCACAAAATATAAACAGTTGTCTTAGTGAATATACATTTCATCACGAATTGATGTTATGTGTTGAATCACTGAAAATCAGATAACGTTTAGAAACATTTTCATTATGAATTGTATATTCAATCAAGTTGAAATTGCATTATTACATGATGATCGTTGACTAAAGTAGTAGATATAAACTGTTTAAAATCGACTAGTGTAATGGATCTAGTCCCGTATAGAGGTATTATAGATACACGCTACACAGAAATAAAAAATTAGGACAAAGCAGCTGCTATTTTATGCATGTAATGTGCATAACTGTTATTAGATTCACTTGTTAAAAGTGGATCAATCAATTTACCGGTCTGTAAGTGTATTACTCCCATATAACATTTTAATCGAATAACTTCCAATCATCAAAATTATATTTGAATACCAAAATCAGTTTTACTTTATTTCTTTTTGTCAAGGCAAACAATTTATGAGCACAGGAATCATAGAGTAGACGTTTTTATGTTTTCCTTCCCTGACTTCTAAAATTTTCATATTTTCAGTTTATTTTTAATATCGATATATGGATTAAAAATGGGGATTCTGAGAACTGAGCAATATTTCTGATACATAATAGGGCATAACGTGCTTAGATGGATCAAACTGTTAATACACAACGATACTTCAACGATGATAACCGCACTCAAGTAAAAATAGATAAGATGGGACATTTTTAGAGCGTTTGTAAGTTTGCAGAAAACTTACTAAATTAAGTAAATATCATAGGATATCATGAAGCTAGTGAGAATTTGGGTCAATGATGTGACATTGACATATCATAATTTTGAAGCTGAAAGTGATTAAAATAATCGATGTTGTAATTGCAACCCTGATATATAATAATAATAATAATAATTTTGATTGGGGTCAATCTCAACACTTGTCTCATAGATCTCATCACAATAACGGTTTTAATCTCATCCGATTCGTTGATTTATAGGTATTCCGTGTTTAATCTTAAAGGATAACTCTATCTATAATCACAGAATGTTTTTGTTATTCAGTATCATCTAGGATGAAGCTCAGAGATTATTGTCTCTCTGTCACATACACACATACATACATTATTTTGTAACGATTACCATTTTTAAATATTTTGTTAGAAACATAGTTTAATCACTAACCAAAAATATTTAGTCGAATGTTGTAATGCAGTTAATGGAGTGACTCGAAAAGAATATATATTTATAAACTTTAGTTTTGAAAATATTATTAGTATGTAATACTGATTTATTGATATCTCTAAATAAATGTTGTCAGCTGTTTTAAAAGTTACATAGATACTTATTCAAAGCATTGGAATAATGATCCTTGAAAATAATGGTTCAATATATTATTGTAGAACAGAATTTTAGATTACTCACAACTAACAGAAAACTGAATAATGGTAGTGTGGTGTGTGCAACTAATGTTGACAAATGTAAGTAATAAGTACCACCAATCGAAACTGGGATGCATAGAGGTAGAATGATGAGAAAATAGAAGAGAAAAGAACGAGAACAGAGAGTGATTGGTATAGAAACGATGGAACAACAAAGTCTGAGACAATTGATGGATATTTTGCAAATGAAGTATTTACTGTATGGTTCTCAGATTTTATCAAGATATTCTGTAATGTTGTATTGAAATGCATTTGGTTGTCCCACTTGTGTTGTCGTTCACTACAGTAGTAGTAGTATTTTGCTAGTCAGTAAACTTGACTATTGATCAGCTAGGTGATTAACAAGTTGGAAAAGAATTCATGCATAGTGGAAGGCAGTTGAAAAAAATTAGTAAATATCCTACAGTGCCTATCTGTAGTCGCTAATTGTTAAATCACACTATATTACTAATTCTTCTCTGATATTGTTAACCATAGTATTCTTTATTGTGCAATTTTCTGATTTATGCCAACTAAGTCTCAAATCTATGATGCCCTCTGTTTGAAAGTCCCTAAATAGGACAAAACGAATTTTAATGACTCCAATTGAAATTATATATATATATATATATATATATATATATATATATCATCCAGAGGCCTTGGGATACCCGCGATGAAACCCATCAGAAGCAACAAAATTGCTCTAAATACTTTAAAGAAATAGCAATCTTTAGAAACGTTCAAATGAATTCTAGGAAACAATGAATCATGTTTCCATTATCCTGATTGGACAATTACCGATTTCATGATTTATTTTATAGAAAATATGGTGGTCACACAATCCTTTGAATCCTGTTACGTCATGTATACAACTGAATCTTTAAAGTAAACTGTTTTGCACGTTTTTCGTTTGAAATTGAAAGATAAAAGATATATCTCATTACCAAGAAGTCACTATTTAAAGCGTTTAACCGCAAATAACGCTAATTCATATTGATTTTATCCACCATTTCAATGAATTTCTAGAAATTTTCTTTGAAAATTATGCTGTAAAATTAATTATTTTCATCATTTTTTTCTTTTCATATAAACACTAGTTTAAAAAGAAAGATGAATATATCAGATACTCAACTATTCCATTCACGTCAACCAACAAATTGGTCAATGATGTTTCCATTCAATAATAATAATAATACCGTAGATGTATATGAGAAATCACGTATCAATAATAATAATTGTAACACTAATAATGGTTTGACCAATCATCAACTACAAACGTCCCCATCTTTTTCTCCTCCACCACCAGCGCTATTACCATCATCTGCAACGTTACCACATCCGCCTTTCCCTCCTCCTCTACATCACAATCCACTTTCACGTCAAAACGACCCACAATCACAACAACAACGGGAGGATCAACAACACCAACAATTGTTGCCACCAGACGTGAGCACATTGCAGGAATTTATGAATTACGGATTATTACCAATTTCATCGAATCAAACTAGTCAATATAATGCAACTATCGACAATAATAGTAATAATAATAGTGCCTGTCAACTGGATTCATTTTACATATCTTCAAGTGTTACTGTGGTACAGAATGATGTGAATACAATTTCTACATCTGACTCCCAATTAAAATTAACCACAGAGCCTACAAACAACATGTTTAGCAACATTCTACCATATACACATAATGAAGGATTATCAGACATTAGTTCTTCCTATAGAGATATGGTTTTTCCACAAAGCTCTAGCAATACTACACTTAATGGAAACAGTAGTATGATGAGTGGATCTGATGTCTCAAGGTCGTTTCAACAATTGGATCCATGGACATGGATGAATATAAATCATCCAACCAATTATCCAGTGACATCACTTAAAACTAATACTTTTCCAGCCATTACTACATCACTATCACCTTTGTCCACTTCGTTAACATCTACACGATCATTGTCATCTACGTCAGCCACGTTATCATCCATTCCTGAAAGTCAAGATGTAACTATGGCTTTAGAATTAGCTAATAAAGCTCATCGTCTTAATAACAGTACTTCTATCTCAAGAGAGAATGACTTTATTTCATTGCCGAAATTTGTGGGAATGACGTCGTCATCGCCTAAAAAATACACTAAGGGTCTTCTTTCTCTTCAAAGACCTCATCATCATGAACATCATCTCCAACAACAACGTCAACAATCGTTACAAACACAACAACAGTACAAATTTGAAGATTTTCTACCGAGTGCATTAAATGTTGAACAGAATGGTTATAAAACAGGTATATCTGATTTTAATAGTAAACATAATAATATTAACAATACAGATGGAATTCATAAAGAATTTCCAGATAAAAGTATTTCACCTACTTCTACATCAGGATTATTTCGTCTACCATCTATTAGTCTGTGTGATACGAATATCTATTCACGAACAATGAATGCTGTGATTACTATGAAACCGGAGGTCTTATCAACAGATGTATATAATCGGATAGATGGAAATTATCGTGGAGAAAGTAAGCATACCACTACTGCTGGGACGGCCACCACTGCTGTTATTAGTAACAACAATAATAATATCAACAACAAATTACATCGTTCCAACAGATCTTATACATCATCCACAACAGCTGATGAATATGATTTAAAGTATAAGCCTCGTTTATCAGTTCATCATAATAAACAGTCCAATAATAACAGTAATAATAGTAATTTAAAAGATTTAATTTCATCACAAAGGCGAAAACGCTCCACATTCAATACTACTACTGCTATAACTACTACTGCTAATAGTAATAATAACAATACTACAAACAATGATGATAATAATATCAACACTACTGTTCATCATTCTATAAATAACAATATAACTGGATCTAACTTGATACCAAATGTTACAATGGCTGTCAACACTTCCGTTTCAATAACAAGTTTAAACAAAACTAATTTTTTCCCAAATAACAATAACTCAGAACTAAGTAATATCTTTACTTCAAGTGGTAGTTTATCAAATAATATTGATATAAGTCATCGTTTAGGTAAATCACATTTTAATGATATATTAAATCAGTATAGTAATGAACATGAAGAGAATAAAAATCATCTGAAATCCATGAATAATACTAATCAGAATACAATGAACAATCATAGTTTAGATGAGCCATTTGTAAAATATGGTACAAAATTAATGAAAATTGCTTCAGATAATGAAACTGGCTTATCTACACATATAAATGATTATGATTATACAAATTTGTCATTGTATACAAAACAAACTAATTCCTCACTTGGTACAAATCAATGGAGACCACAATGTAAGTATTTTAATTTTTTTTATTATTATGGAATAATCATTGTTGTTGTTTTTATTGATGATTTTCCTCTGCTACTTTTGTTCATCACAACTTTCATTATTGAAATGAATGAATATAAGTTTATGGATGATTTTAGTTGTTGTATCTTTGAAAATTATGAAGCAAAGGACAGTTCTTTCATCCTAGTATCGAATTGCAGAGTAGCACTGAACCAGAACTCCGCTAGTGACCAAAACCAGTATCATAAACTGTTACTGGAACTGTTTAGTGATTAGAACAACTGGTTGGCACCTATCGGTACGCATCTCCAAATCTAAGCAATTCATGATATGATGTGGGTAATACTCAATGTGATTATTGATGACTGTTTCACTCTAAATCATTTTGAACTCCACATGTCAAGATTTTCAGTTATATTACAATTTGGTTAGATTTTAGGAAGCATTCTAGTGGTCGAATGGTTAGACATTCGCATCGATACTGAAAGGTCATGGTTTTAATCTGCTGTTGAGTTGCGCGTAAGCAATATTATAAAGTCTCTTATTAGAGCGAAATGGCAATTTTTTACTGTGTGCTTCTTATTTGTACTGTAACTGACATTAATAAACTTCCACAAGCTAAGAAATGAATTATATGAAGATAATTAAAATGCCATTTGAATTTATAGAGATTATTTAGTTGTTATTTCTCAGATCAACAACTTTAGACATGGAAACCAGTTCAGTATTTTAAATCCTCACAATGACCATAAAATACGCCTTTAGGCCATCAAGTTAAAATTCACGAATCATCATCATCATCATCATCATCATCATCATCATCATCATCATCATCATCATCATCATCATCATCATCATCATCATCATCATCATCATCATCATCATCATCATCATCATCATCATCATCATCATCATCATCATCATCATCATCATCATCATCATCATCATCATCATCATCATCATCATCATCATCATCATCATCATCATCATCATCATCATCATCATCATCATCATCATCATCATCATCATCATCATCATCATCATCATCATCATCATCATCATCATCATCATCATCATCATCATCATCATCATCATCATCATCATCATCATCATCATCATCATCATCATCATCATCATCATCATCATCATCATCATCATCATCATCATCGACGGTTTCATTGAATTTTTGTATATGACTGATTGATTTTTCCAATCAATGTAATCGATAAATCGATTATTGTGTCTATCAATATTTTCATTATTTTTTTTTTGTATCCATTTAATTAATTTGTTTCCTTCTCCTTTTATTTTGAGTTACAACAAGTGAAAATATCAAGAATAGTATGAATAGATTTTTTTTTAGGAAGTCTAAAATTTTCATTTCTTTTTCTTTTTTAACTCTATTTAGGCAGATAAAAATGCGGGTAATACGTATTCATACTATCTATCAGTAGAAAGCCAAATTTGTGTAGATATTTCTTTTGAGAATTTTCTTTTTTTTAGAGGGTTAGGGTCAATAACCCGGATGTTTTTCATGTATACATACATTTACATAGGTGTAGTTGGAGAATTTCTATCATGCCTAACATTCTCGATTCAAGTAAATTTCCTCTCTTTACTCCTTCACTTCACTTTATTTACTCCTATATTTGTTCATGCTGAAGGTATTTTTGCCTTAGTTTCTCTAAACTGAAGCAGTTAGAGTTTATTTTTATTACTAAGAAATCCACACCCGTATTTTGAAAATAAAATAAAAATTACAATCACAGAAATTCTTATATATGGAATATATATATATATTCTAGTTTAAGTTGTAGATACCTGCTTATCTATTTATCTATCAACCCTCCTATATATATGTGCACATGAGTACATTTGTTCTCAATGTTATATATAGGACAACTATTGTTAGTTCCTGTTTAAGTATTGTTTAATCAAACATAAATTAATGTAGCAAATTAAGGAATTATTATTAAAACAATATGCAAAGTTTGTGTTGTGAAACATTTCTCACCTATATATATATATATATATGTTTTATTGTATGGTGTAACATTGGAGGTGTATTAAACATTGAATAAAACAATGATGTAACAATATGAATTATATGAAAATTAGTTGTTTTTTTAAAACATGTGTAAACAAACAAACAATTTAAGGTGATATGGTATATTTCTACCTTTAAAATGTTCGAGTCTACAAATTTGAGTAGTTGAATTCATGAGCCAATTGAAGCTAGATCACCATGGAAAACCTGGGAGCACTGGATGGCTGTTTCGTCCTATTGTGGGACTCCTCAGCAGTGCGCATCCACGATCCCGCCTCGAGAGATTCGAACCCAGGACCAGTCATTCTCCTGCGCGAACACTTAACCATTAGACCACTGAGCTGACATTCAACAGTGTTCATGTCTAACTTCAACAAATAATTTTAAACGAATCGTATAGACTACTAATTTGATACTAAACAGTATTCTAATAAATTCCTGTTATTGTTAGATATAACACTTAAAATGTATTAAATTATCTATTTAGGAGATAATTAAGAAATAGAATAATTGCTAGACACTTTTTTTATTCTGAAGGTAGATTTGATTACCGATTGACACCATTAGCTAGATCAATGAAAATCCGAGGATGAGTAAAAGGCAACTTTTTCATTTATATTTGATACCATTCAATAACACTACTAAGTCCCAGAAAATATATCATTAAATATTAATATGGTCAGTATCATCGAAGGATTTAATGGTAACATTATGTAAATAAAAATGTAGTTTAATAATGAGTTTTAAAGTACATTGATGAAATTTCAGTTAGTGTCACCAGCTTAAAACATCGGTTATGATAGCTTGGATATGTTTTTTTAGAATTTAACTTCGTAAGATTCTATGGTGATCATTTATTTTCAATACTGAGATTCGGTAATAAAAAAGAGAAATGAAGTTTTGGAGAGGAAAGTACTTTAATGGAACTGACTACTGTTGATCCACCATGACTTGTTGAGTGAATTTCTGAAGATTTCGTGTTTTAGTTGTTTGATGATCTATGAGTGATGTAGTTGAAATGAAACTTGGAATCCTTGGGTTCTTTCTTTATTATATCTGCAGTAGTGTTTGCATACAAATCGAGAGTTAATAGCTAGAAAAACACCAACTGTCTAATGGTTCTGAGTTTGAAGTGCTTTTTATGCCGTCTGACAAAACAACTTTCAAAAAATTAAAGACAAACAAAACGAATAAAGGATTGATTTCAGAATGAAGCTTTTAACCCCCAGGTCCGACTTACCACATTTCGTTCTCAGGTACCTTCGATCAGGTATAGAGCGTAACAGTTGTTACCGATAGTCGTTGTGATAAGTTGTAAACTGATTGAAGTAGAAATTCTACCATTTAACACAGACTCAGTGGTTTTAATGGTCAAGCTTTCGCCGTAAAATAACTGATGGTCTCGAGATTGGTTCATTTTAAGGTTGTGAGTACTCACTGTTGATGACTCTCGTACTATAACAGAACATATGCACAATCCCGCCTAGTTTCCACTGGTATCTAAACCGAGATCAACCTACAATGAACACAACTCGAAAATCAAGCCAATCCACTAAATCTATTCAACAAAACTCTTAATAGCTAATTCATCTAAAAACAGACCAAGACCTCTGATTATTACTACTATTGCTATTATCATCATCATTTGAAAACTGCGGTTTTGAGTGTTTAAAAAGCACGAAATCGTCATTGCAATTTCATCATTATTGTTGTTGTTAGGAATCTTTAGTGATATCGATTTTTCTTTTGTTTTTCATAATATCAGGCTCTGGACAAATACAATTATGGCAATTCTTATTGGAACTATTATCGGATTCTAAAAATTTAGCTTGTATCACATGGGAAGGAACTAATGGTGAATTTAAATTAGTCGATCCTGATGAAGTAGCACGAAGATGGGGTGAACGTAAATCAAAACCGAATATGAATTATGATAAATTAAGTCGTGCGCTACGTTATTACTATGATAAGAATATTATGAGTAAAGTAAGTCTGTGAAATTGTTTTGTGTGTATAAACGATTTTCCATGATTTTCAAGTAAAGCTAGATTGTTTCTAGCAGCGAAATCCAGTATGAGCGCATTTCGTCGCAATTGGGACTCATCAGCTGGATTTACCTAGATCTCAGTGTCGATAATCGCACTGGGATTTGGTATGTACTAATATCTTTCGAAACGTTTACAGATTATCAACTAAACTACTGTATCTGGTTAGGCAAAAACTTGTTCAACGTATTTACTTTAAGTGAGTAGTTTAATTTGGAATTATTTGTATTTGCGTCTGTAAGAGCATTTGTAACCAAATGAGAACTTTCAGGTATTCCACTTAGTATGCATTTATGCCAACTAAGTGGCTGGTCACATATTATCCTCGATGTCAATAAAAGAAAAATCTAAAACCCTACAAAGCTTTATTCAATGGTAGAGATACTTTGCCTAACAGTCCCTTATAATAATGTTTATAAGACTGACTATTTTATTTAGAAACTAAATAACGTTAAGTTACAAAAGAAATTAGTGCACCTAAGTCCGTTGATGATTTTCTACAAACATTGATCTCAACATATTCAGTGTCATTAAACGATAACTAATCAAGTACATTCATCAATCATTTTACTGACAAACGGAATATCATTATGAGTTTGTGCAGGTTGTCGAGTTTCATTGAAATCATGAGTCGATCAACGTGAGACCACCCTTGAAAACCTGGAAGTATTGAACGGCCGTTTCCTCCTAGTACGGAACTCCTCGGCAGTGCACACCCACGGTCCAGCATGTGAGAACTTCGGTTTCTTGAGAGAACGCTTAACCTCTAGACCACTGAGCTGGCGTCTAACGATGTAAACGTCTAACTTGAATCCATCAGAGATGGTAAGCGACCATTTTCCATTCCCTCCTGTGGGTAACTGCCCCGCACCTGACATGTTCATGGGTGCGCGCTGCCTAGGAGTTCTATACTAAAGCAAAATGTTCATATAGTGCTTTCAGGTTTTCAATAATAGTCTAAGATTAGTCCATAATTTTAACAAGCAGAATTGTTGTACTTTAACTGTTTTCAACATTCTCCTCAAAACTTACTCAGTAATATTAAACTGAGTTGAATTTTAGTTTTCAGCAAATACTGTTTAAAAAAAAAACTATGAAAGTTTACTTTTTTAATCTGAGTTTCATCTCCAGAGGACAATGGTTATTAGAATTTTATTCTGGTTAATTTATGTACATATTGAGATTTGTAAGTTATCATGAGTTGTGGTCTGAATAAGTCATGCATTAAAAGAATATTAAAAATATTTTAAAGCGTTTATTCTGATTAAAGATTTGGGAATCTCTAAATATTAGTGAGTTATTGATCATATGACAAGTACGGTATATCATTCTATATGATGCAAAATTATTTCCGTATTAGGTATGATTACATTTTGGACATAATCTGTGAGTTATTTTATTGATAATAGTAGAAAGATGATTCATATAATGGAACTTGTTGTTTGGATAGTATATAAATTATTATACCAGTAATCAGTTCTGAAGTTAAGATTTAAAGCTTTATTTATTATATTACAATTTGACCATTTACATTTAATAATCATTTGATCAACATACAATGCATAAAATCAAAGTTATTAGATGAATATGTTTTCCATCTAAATCATTATTATAAAGCTTACTATCTTTTACTTATAATGTCAGTCAATCTTTACTACAGAATATTAATCTACTCCTTTTAGTAGCTAGGATTTCACAAGATAATTTCAAACGAAATCGTTTTTAGATCTTATGAATAATAAACTCAACAATAAAAGGTCATTTCGAAACATATCCAACTACATTTCATAAGTATAGTTAAATAGTGACTAACAGTGTAATCCAGTATGTAAATCTCGTTCCATATTGAACTGGTCAGCTGAGTGTACCTGCTCTGCAATCTAGATGGTTACTTCGGGACTCAAACCCAGGTCCATTCTCTTTAAATGTCTAGTGCATTATTCACTTAGCGATGGAGTCCTAATATCCACTGGTTTGTACAATGAAGTGAATTCTAATTTATTTGTATTAATTGTTTAGACCTTCCCAAATTATAAAACAGGATATACATACTCCACATGAGACTGATTATTTGTAGTTTACAACATTAACGATACGATTTAAACAACCAGTACAAATGAATATCTAACTATATTTCTGCGTAAAATTATTAATTTATACCAATTAATTGTGTACATTTTCAAAATTTTAACTTCAGATAAATGGTAAACGTTATGCATATAAGTTTGATTTTAGTGGATTAGCTCAAGCAATGCAACCGCCAACATGTGGTAATTCACCAAGTCCTGATACAATGAACACCAGTTCACAAATGTTATCTTCATTATTATTACCAAGTGTATGTCATGGATTAGGCATAATGAATCCATCAACACAAGTAAATTTAAGTCATAATTTAACACCAACTGCCGGTACACATTATTCTAATTTATTAGTGTCCACCCAACTATCACAAAATCCTAATTTAAATAATAATAATCATACTACTAATGAGGCATCATAAGTAATAACAGTAATAATAATGACAATAGTAATAATAATATTAATCGTAATGATTTTAACACTCGATTTTCTTCTCGTTCAACAAATCCCATATCAGCAGATTTATTTCCTTATACAACAAACGTTTCTAATTACTTTAACACAACATATTCATGTTCTTCACCATCCTATATTTCAAGATTAGGATCACATCCTATCGATTTTCGATCGAATCACCGACAATTACATACTAATACTTCAGAGACTATGAACGATAATAGTAGTTTGAATAGAACAGAATATCCTACTGATTCATTTGACTATGGTAATTTTGCACAGAATAAATCCAATAATCCTACTTATTCACTTTCTAACGGTTCCTATACTCAAGATGTATTACACTCTGCACGTATGGCCGCGGCTGCAGCGGCGTGTTGTTTAATATCACCACTTAACAACAGTTATAATAATAATAATATGTCATCTTTAAACAATTATTTAGTGGATGATGACAGAACTAATATGATTATGACAAATACAGATTCGTTATTTACAAGTAAATTTCATTCACTGGATGATTTTGATTCATCACGTCTTCATCAGTCACATTTACTCCAACAACAACAACACCAGCAGCATCAACATCATCACCATCATCCTCACTCTCCCATGGACAACAACATCAGGAGCATGAGTTACATCAGAATAGTTTACATGCTGATCAGCACAAATCATCAACACATTTATCCACATTTAATCAAATCTCAAATAAAAACTTTTTTGGAAAAAGTTCCAAACAAAATTTTTCTAATGCGAATGAATACATTTCAAATGGGATTCTAGACAACATGGAATTAAGTAATAATAGTAATAATAATAATAATAATAAAAACAATAGTGATAATAACACTACTATTATGAATAATAACAATAGTAATGATGAACTGAGTACATCAAATATGTTCAATTCTACTACTCATCTAATTCGAGATACTACGCACAATAATCTATCACTTTTTCATGGGATGAGAATACTTCCTGACATGGAGGACAATAATAATAATAATAACAATATTAACTCACTACTTACAAACTCAACTAGTTCAACTCTAACTACTTCACCTAATATTGATCAGAATAATTTAAATTCAAATTTTATATCTAAATCAATAAATCCATTAATGGAGACATCGAATTTGATTGGATCATGTTTTCCAATAATGACTCAAACATCAACTAGTTCAATGAATAGAATAAATTCATGGTTTACAACAGTAACAGAAGATGGACAATCATCGACATCATCATCATCATCATCATCATCAACAACAACAACAACATCCATCTTTAACTACAACATTCAGTTATTCAGATTCGAATGAATTACAAAAGACAATCAATTTATCAATAAGCTAAATATATATTTTTAATTTCTATATGTTTATTGTTTCCAATGCATAGATTGAATATATTGGATACTCACATGTATTTATTGATTTTTATTTACCTTGTTTTGTAATTTAATACAGTGATTTCATCTAATATATACATATATATTTGATTTACATATGAAATAAAATGTGTAAAATACTGTTGAATCTTTTTAGATAACTCATGGAACCTATAAGTTTATAGACATCAGGATACTCGACAAATTTCAATCATTGTGAACCATATATATATATATATATTTCCGGTTGACGTTTTTTTTAGCGAGTTAGTTTTCTACGAGATGGGGTCGCTACCCCCATGCCCAACCCTCCTCCTTTATCTGGGCTTGGGACCGGCAGTAGCCCCCGGAGGGACTCCAGGCGGAGTTTTATATATATATACATATATGTGAAAAACAAACAATGCCTCAACAAAATATACCATGTAATTGGTCTAGCTTCAACTGACTCATGATCTTAACCATTGAAATTACTATAATATCCACAAAACCCATCCTATATTAATTGTTAAAAGACTCAAATAAACCTATAGAAATCATATGAAAAGTAAAGGATACTATTTGCGTACTCAATAAACTATTATATAACGCTATTGTGACCCTTGAGATTTTTTATAAGCTCCTTAATTGATAGACCGAGTATACCCCCTTTGTTTATGTGTTAACCGCCTATGTTTTGACTGATTTCAAACTGTGACTGGCAACGAAACCTTGAGCTATGGAAGAGATCATTTAGCTCTTACTGGTTTAGAATGCAATTTCTCCGTCTAGCACAGTTTTCAGTTCGAAGTAAAAAGACACAATAACTGGTGAGCTTTGTTCCTTAATCAGCCAATATAACTCAAATACTTATAGGTTTGTACACAGATCTGTCAAATCACAATACATCTAAATTACCGATCATATTATTTACACAATCATATAATAAATGACAGAAAATGCAGTAAAATGTATAACGGTAGCTAATGAATCTAACGAAAGCTTACAAGGCTAGGAATATAGAAATATAATAATCTAACTATAAAACAATTTAATAGTTGAGATCGGGATCGTGGTTGCGCACTGCTGAAGAATCCCACAATAGGACGAAACGGCCTTCCAGTGCTTCAAGGTCTTCAGTGGTGGTCTAACACTGATCAATTCACAGTACTGATTCTTTTAAGGAGTGTAAAATATTATTAGTATAAATAAAAACAAGTGGATTGGTTGATGTTAGACACTAACACCATTGGATGCCGGCTCAGTGGTCTAATGGTTAAGTGCTCAGGCGCGAAGCCAGTAGGTCCTGGGTTCGAATCCCGCGGGGTGCGGGGTCGTGGGTGCGCACTGCTGAGGAGTCCCATACTAGGGCGAAACGGCCGTCCAGTGCTTCCAGGTTTCCAACGGTGATCTAACATCAATTGATTCATGATCTCAACCAAAAACGAGTGTTTTTCGCTACTGAGAGTGCTATGGTCTGAAAAGTTGACGTATAACTGCTTGAACGGATATTTCGTGTTGGGATGAGAGGCGAACCTAGGGTAATGTGAATTAGTAACAGCTTACTATGTCATGAATGAGACTTACTTCATTTTAGCTTCAAACTAAGTAAATTAAACTCGTCTGAACAATCAGTAGGGAGGATATAATTGGGTGTATTTCGTTATTACGTCAGCATTGGTACTGAAAATGCATCATAGAAATGATCTACATACTATTTGGAAGACTCATCTCTAAATTTTATACAATGTACTAGAGTCAATAGTATCAATAGTCTTTTAGTCACTTGTAAACAATATACAAGCCTAGTACAAATATGCATCATTTTAACTTTTCACACTTTGTACAAATGTAATGAAGGAGAGGAGATGGAGATCAAGTGAGTACTAGTAGGAATTAAACATGGAAAATTTAATTTCTTTAAAAAAGAAATTAGTTTATGAAATAAAATCTATGAAGTTATATTATAATTTTAGATATAAATGAAGGCAAATAATAAATGTAATTGTGTTAATTAGATCTAGTTTAATATGATACCATCTAACCAAACTAAACAGAAGTTACAATCATTTAGCTAACTTGAGTCAAGAGATTTGTACTTATTAAATTTCAACAGTTGAGATCATGAGTCAATTGAAGCTAGACCACCATGGAAAACCTGGAAGCACTGGAAGGCCGTTTCGTTCTGTGCGGGACTCCTCAGTACTGCGCATTCACGACCCCGCCTCGCGGGATTCGAACCCAAGACTATCAGTCTCGCGCCAGGCGCCTAACCAACTAGACCACAGAGCCGGCATCCAACAGTGTTAATATCTAACTTCAACTAATCCACGAAATTGAGTGACACATCCGCCAGTGTCATTAGTGAGTTACTATCTCACAATTGACCCGGTTGAACTCCACTCATGATTTCAACTGTTGAAATTACTACAATCTCCACAAAACCCCATCTGATACTGATTAAATTGGTTCACTGCCGGGGATTTTAAAGATGATTGCTAAAAACATTGCCTTAACAACTGAGAAAGAGAGCTAAGGATAGAATTGATTAGAGACTAGTGTTTGGCAGTTTATACTCCAAGGGGGTTAACAGTCATCAGTTAAAATCTAATAACTTGGACTGATAGTATTTAACATATTTTCAACCCACTGATATGTTTGGCAAATTATACATTGAAGTTAGATTCGGACAAGTTTGTATAACTTATGGCCTTGTAATCGAATGTCGATTTTTTTTAAAGGTAGAAAAACAGAATTAAATAACTATGTAAATGTTACGTATGGATGAAGAATGAGTGAATAGTAACCACTAGGATCTATTTGTGGACTTTTATTACACGTATTCTTATTGTAAATCTAGTAAGTAACTATATTATGTGTATATACATATTCCTCTTATTGTAAGCTTTTTTTTATCCTATTGACTATTATTATACGATTTGCTATTCTTAAGTTATTCTCAAGTTATTAGTATTAGTCTCTCACAATCACAGACACCTTTTAGCTCGATCTAGTATAATTGTTATTTTCTATTTTATGGTATGATGAAGTTTGGTTTGCTTGTATATAAACCCAGTATGTCTGAAATATATGATTCGTATCACAGAGGCTGATATTGCCGTTCTGAACTGAACCGGCTGGGTTAGTAGAAAAGCTACTATTTCAGCAAACCATTAAGAACTCTAAGGTACTCGCACAGGTTTGTGCTTCATTAGTCTGGTTGTATAAATCACTGTCTCTAATCGGCGGTCGTATCACGTGATATAATTAATCGGGTGTAAAAATAAAACAGTAAATATCTTTAAAGTTGGTCTAACTATTTATCATAAAAGCTAACGTCCCTACTGAAACGTTGAAATATGGTAAGTTATGCTTGATTGGGAAATCAGATTTTCGTCCCTGGTTAAATATATATCAATGAAGCTACACTGATTGTAAGAAAGTAAACTTTGAAAAAAAGGTTCTGTTTGTTTTACAGAAGGCCTTATGTAAACCTGTACTACATTTGATCTAACATTAAACACTTTAACTCCATTCATTTTTTTCTGAAATTCGTTTTCATCCTAACGTAGTGTTTGGGCAAAATAGCTATTAAGAAAGAACTAAATCACTGAATATTATTATATGATAGTCTAGTGAACTAAATCGATTTTAAACGTTTATTGAAACAGTTTCTTTAGACTGTAAGTAATATTGAAGAGTATAAGTTTGCACAGCAGATACAACATACAGTCGATTGGATTATTTTGAGTAATCTAAAATTTGATTTAATTACCGGTTATTAGTTATTAGGATGAACTATGTAAGGAAGTCGAAATTTCGAAATGAATCTTTTTGAGACAAACCTAATCTGTATATAATTATAATCATTATCCTAACTACGGACAATATCGAAGCAATTAATCAAAAATCCACGCACATCAAGCTGTCCTATCCTAAATGGGAAAGATGGACTGTGGCTAGCAGTGGAATCCAGGACGCGCGTTTCGTCCTGTTCGAGACTCGTCAGCTGAATGTACCTGCATCTCAGAGTTGATGTTCACTCTGGGACTCACTACAGTTCGCTTCAAACGCCATCGCGTTATCCACTTAGCTACTGAGTCCTGATAGCCACTTGCTTGTGCAATGGGGTGAAGTTTAATTCATTTGATATTGTTTAGCTTGAATCTTCCCAATATCAAATGAATTAAACTTCACCCCATTGCACAAGCAAGTGGCTATCAGGACTCAGTAGCTAAGTGGATAACGCGATGGCGTTTGAAGCAAACGGTAGTTCGAGTCCCAGAGTGAACATCAACTCTGAGATGCAGGTACATTCAGCTGACGAGTCTCGAACAGGACGAAACGCGCGTTCTGGATTCCACTGCTAGCCACAATCCATCTTTGCTTATAATGCTTGTAAATTAAGGCAATATCGAGGCATACGCACAGTATGCACATATGCCAATAAGAGACTGATCAATTTCAGTCCTAAAATATCAATGGGAAGATTCAAGTAAAACAATATCAAATGAACTATCCTAAATAGGATAAGAAATTTGTTATATATTCCATTGAAGAGTTACAAACCAAAAATATATCAAATGGATAGGTTGAATGCAACGATAATATTTGGACTTCGCAGACGACCTAGCTCTTCTATCCCATACACATCGACAAATGCAGGTCAAGACAGACAGTGTAGCAGAAGTATTTCAGCAGTAGGCCTCAACAAACACAAGGATTAAGTAACATCCTGAAATACAAAACAGAGAACATCAACACAATCACACTTGTTGGCGAAAATCTGGAAGAAATAGAAACATTCATCATCGATGAACTTGAAGGATCTAATGCAGACGTAAAACCGAGGATTGGCAAAACAAGGGCCGCATTCCTACAATTGAAGAAGATATGGAACTCAAAACAACTGTCAATCAATATCAAAGTCACAACCTTCAATACGAACGTCAGCGCAGTGAGTTCTACTGTACGGAACTGAAACTTCAAGAACTACTACAACAGTCATCAAAAACCTGTAAGTACTCATAAATAATTATCTACGTAAGATACTGAATGTCCGGTGGTCGGATACCATCAGCAACATCTTACTGTGGAAGAGAAGAAGC